TTGCTCCCATCTGAAGATTCTCGCCGACATCTACGAAAAGTTATCAAGCACCACATGTTGCAAGGGGTGTATTACGCCTCTGATCTAGGGAATGATACTACCCGGACCATCGAGACGCACGAAGGGACCACAATTGTCATCGCTAACTCGAGCATTGTATTCGAGTCAGGGTTGTGGAACCGCACGACCACCTTCCTACCCCAGAATGATATCACATCCACCGGGGTGATCCATCATGTGAAAGACGTCATCCTTCCGGAGACTTTCCAGGTGGACATTGAAGGCTTGGCGCGCGCCGCAGATGGAGAGACTATGATTACGCTCGTGAAGCGCTCTGGGCTGGGTAAAGTCCTGAATGGAACGCTCACGATGAAGGATCTTGAGGAGTTCGATCCTTGGCGCAGACGAGACAAGCCACCAACCAACACGACAGACGGATCGACAGCGTCACTGCGATGGGCACGAGCGATGAAAGAGTCTCCACCAGAGCCGGTGGGCTGGGTGCTGCTCGTGCCAAAGGAAAGCGCGTTCAAGAGCGTCAACCTCACGAGGCTGCTTGATGATGAGGACGCGCTTCGCGAGCTCGTCATGCAACATATTATCCCTATTCCATCAGCTGACTCTCCTACATTGGATCCAGAGTTCCCCTTGGCATTTACGGATGAAGCACAATATTCTACGCTCCTGACACCCAATTCCATTCGTGCAGACCTTGTATTCAGAATCACATCCAAGAGCCAGAAACCCATCGTTCCAGGGCGAGGTACCGAGAAGATCGAGGTCCTCGTAGGCATCAAGAATGCGCGGGGTAGCGACGGGCTCACGGACTTCGCCAAGGTGCTCAATTTTGGGCGGACGACTACGCCGGCGTTTGCATCGCCGAAAGGAGTGACAGGGCCGCGCAGTGGAGTGTTGCAGATTGACCAAGTGCTACAGCCTTGGGTCCCTGATTGGTGGAATTCATGGGGCAAGTACACGGCGTCTGGTGCCGGGGGCGGGGTTCTCATCATCTGCTTTTGGGCCACGATCTTATGGTTCTGGCATCGGAAGAACGACGAGGCCACGTACGAGCCGCTAGACGGGGATGGGACAGGCGAAGATTAGTGTACTGCGATTTTACTGTTCCCGAAGGGCGGGAGGCACGCTTTCGGGTAAATCGCCTTTTTGCTGTATTTTTCGTAGGGCCTAGTTACGCGACCTTTTGTTCATGAGAGAAGATCTGCGTACAGAGAGCATAGTTGCTGCTAGCTCTACCCCTTTTATGAATTATAAGATGTGAATAGGCCGCGCGCATGTCAGTTTGAGCACGGTCGATCGTATTGTTTCGGTCACCGCCTCGCGTCGGGTAGAAAGACGCTCGGTCAACTCGGATGTCGTACAGCCCATCGTGTGATATTATGGATCCAAGATTTGTCACGATTCCGGTCGTTGGGTGATTATTATAAAAAGTAGCATTTGAGATGGGGCATGAATAAAGACATTACGAAGGTCATCAGTGTAGAGACGGTTTATTCGCGAACAGAACAACAGGGCATTATGGTAGAGCGGCGGGAGGGTCGTTATTTGTGAATAAGTGGGAGGGGGAGGCCGAAAAGCGGCCAGCATTAGTGGCAAATGTATTGGGGCGAAACACACGTATTAAAAAGAGGTCGATGATCTATGCGGACGGGAGATTTAGACTTGGAGCGTTTTGGATCGGTCGCTGAACGGGGCAAGCAACGCGACGGGCAGAGATTTGACACACATACCATGTAAAGTTGGGGGTCCCAAAAAATAGGAGGTTGGCAGATCCAGTGGTTATTAGTGACGAAGGATGGAAATAATGTCAAGAAGAAGTTGGAGGAAGTTGGAGGGGATTCAAAACAATGCCATATTATCACGGCTGGATGGGCCAATATGATCATTGACCTTTAGCGACCTCGGAGGGAATCCCCTCCCCGATTACATTGCACGTGGGCACGGTTAGGTTGCCTGGCCGATATCCATATTCCCGGGCAAACTGGGCGCCAATTGTCAGCATAGTCCTAGCGTCGGGCTGTGATGGAGCGAGACCAGCACGCTGCAGGGCCTAGATAAGACGATCCAGGGGTAAGGCCTGAGGTTGGGCAGCGGTAGAGGGAGAGCAAGACATACCGCGATGGCTGTTGTCACCCAAGCAGCCGTGTCCCAGACAAGATCAGTTGGCTTCACTGGCACAACGGCAAGGATATCTCTGATCTGGACTGGGGTGACCTCAACGGCGACTTTGGAGAGGAACATGAGACTCAAGGGTCGGATACTCCTTGTGGAATGGTCCGGCTGCGCCTGGAATGCCCATTCAGACAAGCCATTGGTATCATAGGGTTCTTCTTCTCGGGCGACGCGATAGCGAGTGGCAGTGGTAGCATCGGGGTGGGGGTTCTTGTCGGCAAGGATGATTGAGTAGGCGAGCGTAGATGGGTCAGAGGGGTTTGGATTACGGTGGTGATACGAGATATACAGTCTGCGAGACGAGTCGTTTTCTTTTCTCTTTTGCCTTAACATCGCGTCGCCCAAGAGTAAAGACTGGAAGGAAGGAAAAGGTTGGTTCAAAGCGAGAGAAGCCCGCCGAGCACGTGACCCTTATGAGGAAAACAAGAAACCAGGAACCAAATCGATCCGCAGCCCGAGATATATCGTTCGAGTGGAGCTCAAACGTGCATCTGGTATATTGTATCGAAGATGGCAAAAAACAGAGACGACTGTATCAGGGAGCGCAACCATTCTGCTGGTGGCATAGATTAAGCAGCCGATCTCCCCTTTATGTCAATGATCAACCATTCCGTCGTCTGAAATAGGAAAACGTTCAATGAATCCACCTAGCATAAAAAGGGTGCGTCCAGGAGGTCAGCGTAGCATCACCGTAATCCGTCTATGATCCCTTGCACCCATCTCACAAGTCCCCGCTCAGCATTGAAGCTTCAAGAATGAGCTTCTCGCACGCCATGACGCAGTCGTCACATATAGTATTCAACATTCTACACATTACGGACCATTCAGAACGAGACATAGGGCATGGCTTCAAGCTCACAATTAGGGGTGACCTTCAACAAGCGCTCGAAAGCTCTCAGCCAGAGCCGAAGTCTTATTGCGAAACTGAATAATAGCATTCTGTGTCTGTATTTACACTGATGGACCGCTTTCCACACACACGTCGCGAGATTTGACGGCTTCTTGACGTACCCATCGATCATCCTCATGGCCACAAAATGGCAATTGCTTCCCATCGATCAGTGCCCAGATGTTGCATTTGAGAAATGCGCTATCCAGCTATGAACTCTGTGCTCAAAGGGAAGGCTTTCCGACTCGAGATGCAGCCCATTCTACATTGTTCATAAACTTGAGCTTGCTTGGGTCCCGCTTCAGATATCCAGCAACGTTTGCTACGGTGTCTTCCCAGAATACCTGGTAGGCAAGAGGTTAGCGCATTCGTTTTCCCAAAAATTCAGGATCCGAGCAAAGGCGAAAGACTTGGAAGATACTAACTTTATACAACCTATCCCCAACATAGCCGATGTGTGGCGAAAGTGTGATATTCTTTGCCTTTCGGATAGGGTGATCCAGTGGCAGCGGCTCGATATCAAAGACGTCGATACCAGCGCCCGCGATCTTCTCATTATTCAGAGCGTCAAGAAGGGCTGCCTCATTGACGATGGGACCGCGCGAGGTGTTGACAATGAACGCGGTAGGTTTCATCCATCCGAATTCGGTGCTACCGATGAGGTCTTTTGTTGAAGGAGCGAGAACCATGTGGACCGAGACGACGTCGGAAGTGCGGAAGAGTTCCTCTTTGGAAACAAACTTCACCCCGGCTTCAGCGGCGCGCTCAGGTGTGAGGTTAGGCGACCACGCGCAGACTTCCATGCCAAACACTCGTGCAAACTTTATGGATGGGAACCCAAAGTCAGATTCGGGGACCGGGATATTAAGAATAAATATGGAGCTGGTTACCTTTAGGGTGGCCTTGCCCAATTTTCCCAGCCCCACGAGCCCGAGAGTTTTTCCACCAAGCTCAGTAGACAATCGATTCTGCCACTGAGGGTTTCCGTTCACGGTATTATTGTGCTCAAACACCAAGCCCCGAGCAACTGCCATAATGAGCGTCCAACTGGCGGCACAACATGAGAAGAGATCGAAGCCATTAGTTTTCCAAGGATCAAATGTGCAGGATGGAGGCTCGAAAGCTTCAAGTATTACTTACTTGTGCTCGGCCGTGCCGTCACCCGTATAGCCTGTCCCAGCAACGATGATACCCTCTCGACGTGCAGCCTCCATATCGATCGCGGCGTTCCGCAAACCCGTCGTCGTCAAAAGCTTCAAATTGGGCAGCTTCCCAAGCACGCTGGCTGGAAATTTTGTCCTCTCCCTCATCGAGCAGATGATTTCGAACGGGCGGAGTCGCTCAACAAGGGCCTCTTCATCTGTCGCCTGCTGAATAGTGTCCTTAAAGACGGTGATGTCGACAAGCGACGAGACCGCGCTCCAGTCAGCACATTTGAAAGCTAGGTCCTGATAATCATCCAGGATAGCAAGGCGTGGTTTGTCCGCGGCAAGAGCCATAATAGAACGAGACGGGGGAGAAGCTAGCAATCTATGACGTTGAGGATGACGATGTCGCAAGGGTGCTGCGAGAATAGTTCTGTGGTTTTGGGTATATTGATATGTCCCAATCAGCAAAATAGATGGCGAAGTGTTTGGTAGATGGTGCGATCTACCAATAGAACGTGAGGTCAGAGTGGACAACAAAGGACGCATTTCAGTTGATAGTCCGAGCGACGCCGAGTGACAACAAAGCAGAAATAGGGCCACAGATTTCGTTAAGCTCAGTTAAGTAATCAGAAATAATAAGAGGAAAAAAGCAAGAGAGGGCGGAAAGCGCAAAGAAGTGTCATGGGAAACCACCATCACCACGATATTGGCCTGGGAACATACCCAGAGACCAATCGGTTGTGAAAGCGGCAGCTCAAAATTACAAAAATTAAGGGTCCAACCGCGAATCGAACGCGGGACCTCACCCAGATAGTGACAGAAGTCCCTAAGGGTGAATCATACCTCTAGACCATTGGACCTCCGATGAGAGAATAGTTCCAAAGAGACTATAACATTTATCTTGTTTACCACCCCTGCTCACTCCTCCATAGCGCTTACTTTATATGTAGAGCGAATAATGTAGAATGGGAGGAATCCGTAGAAATCTTTATCACTTTCTTGGAAATTGAGGGGGAAGTTGGAATGGGGTCACGTGACCATGGCCTCGTTCCGGCTGTTGGTGCAACAGCGAACGAAAGCTTAGGTTTGTATCAGAATGGGCCCAAAAGAACTACACCTTGTGTACAGCAAGAATAGAATACTTTCCCGTACCATGGCGCGGCACATCGCAAAATCAAATGCCACTGCGAGCTGCTCCCTCGTCGTATCACTCCATCGAAAACCCACTAGCCCTGGGCATCCAAATTTGTAGATCGAATGATGAGGAATCATCAAAAACGATTCCCGGTTTTCTCAGTAGTGAAGAGGAAACATTCATCTCATTTACGAAGCTCTCAAATACTTTGGATTGAGCAGTGACCACTCAACAATACAAATTCGCGCCAGTTAAACCGAGGTGCTAATACTATCATACTACGTCAGGGGAACCACCAATACCATCAGCATCAGCTATTCTGGCAGGGAAAACGAAGGAACTAACCATAATAGAAAGACCAGTAGGCCATGGTGTAAGACGATACTGATCCTCTGGGTCAAGGTATTGCCAGACTTCAGCTCTAGGGCCATTACCTGGCTTTATTTGATAACGGTCTCCATCACGGATGACCACATCGGCAGGTCCAATTATAATGGTTTTGAACCTAGGGACATCGAGAGCGTATCAGTGGGTGGCAACACAAGGTGTGAAGGTACGGTGGGAAACGGACCGTCGAAGCGTTCCAGTCTTTCCGGTCGCTCGCCGGAGATTCTTAAGACTGAATACGACCTGAAGGACGACGGCGGCTGTCCCGTACACGAAATCTGATCCCAAAATCTTGAAGGCGCCGTCACCTTGCAGGAGTTTGTACGCGTCTTCTGGGCGGGTCGGATTGACATCGCCGGGGGCCGCGAAGATGGTGCCGTCATTTCCAAGAGCGGCAAGATCTAGATACAACCTCTGGTCCTTTGTCAAAGTTTGGTTCCCTAGCTTGGTCGCAGCTTTAGCTTTGCGATAGAGTCCACGAACAGCAGGGTCGAGGCCTAAATGTGTGAAGGAAGCGGTTAACCATTATAGTCAATTTGATACATCAATCTATTGAACGCACGAAGAGCCTCGCGGACAAAACACGCCAAGGCAGCCAGTGACTGGGGTGAGCGATCGTTCGCAACTGCAGTTACGGCTTCTTGTAATGCTTTCTTCTTGCCATACAGTCGTCTGGCAGCCTCTAGGGCAGCTGGATCGAATGAATACTGAGGAGGTGGGAGGGGTGCCAAGAAGAAATTGACGACGTGGGTGTAAACTAAGTGGGAAATGTCCTCAGTTTGATTTCACCAGGTGTAGTAACGGAGACCTTACTAAGGAATAGCTCTATAGAAACTGTGGCGATCAGCCCCACAATATTGGCGGCGGCTTCACCCATTGGGAGATTCAACGATGCCATGCGCTTCAAAATGGCATCGTTATACTCATATTTGGATCCGCGGACCAACTGTCGTACTCCAGAGAGTTTGGTCTTCGCCATTTTAGTGCGCTGTCATCTGATAGAGGCCGGGAAAGCAACTTACTCCACCGGTCGCTTCGGTCATTGCAGTTTGGACCAATCGTGTCAAGTTGGCGACATGATCTCGCGCTTTCACCATAAGCGGTATCTTGAGCGAGTTTTCGGGCTCAGCATAAACAAAACTGTAGACAATCAGCACATTGATAACTTGAGTTGGATATTCTGTCATCGGAAAGGACAACAGGCTACACACCTGTAGATCTCTCGGAGCATGAGGAACAATTGTTGTTCATAAAGCACTCCTTTGGGCGTGAACGTCGATTTTAGAGGAAGGCCAGCCTATAGATAGCAGTCAGCATCAGTATTTTGCGCCAAGGTCTGATAATCTTGAGCAAGATTCGCACCACTTGATAGGAGCTCCAGTGAACAGGGAGCAGGCGGAAAACATCCTTGACCACATCTGCTGTCAGGTCTGATGTGCCTGGTACACTCAGGCTCTTTTCTCGCATAAGAGACATGGCGCGATCTCGGAACCATCCCAGCGTTTCATCTAGAACGGGCGGAGCCGGTATGACCAGTTGTCTGAGAAGCTTTGTTGCATTAGCAAAGAACGGAGGCTCGTCTATGTGGCGGAGGAAGCTGCTATCAAGGCCGATAGCCTTGATGTTACCTCCATAGAGAGTGATGTAGTTGAGAGACTCGACATCTAGGATGCTTCCAACCGACGGTGGATCATAGACGACCATGATAGGCAACTGGGGAATTGGACGATCGATCGTGTAGCGATCCAGGACGCCATTTTTATGCAACAAGATGTCCATGCTGTAAGGCTGACCAGTTGGCGTAACAAAAGGGAAGTGAGTATATGTCGAGGTGGAATTATAATGGTTCGGCAGTGCGCGTTGTAACACTCGGCCGATCATGCCTCCATAAGCGGCATTATTGATGTTTCGTTGACCCTCTGCGGTAACGTGACATTTGAGCAAACTGCCAACAGCGAGCCCAGGTTCACTTACCTGTATAGCCGAAAGAGGTCAAGTTGTATGACGTCGCCAGGTAAGTGAAATATGGATCGCCGCGAACGAGAGCTACAGCGTCTGACAGGATTGCTCTGGGGGTCAAAGCTTAGTTATCTCCACTTTGAACAGGCACGGAATACATACCTGCTGATACTATAGTAGACAGGACTGTGAGTCATATAGTTTCGATTGGGGAAACAAGGAAGTGGCTTACGTGTATCCGGGACAAAGACCTGCCCCAGGACCAACACTCTTTGTTTCCTCCGCCAACAAACCCACATACAGCTCTAGATTCTCCGGATTCCTATACAGCATCCGCGCGGCGCTTGCAATCTTCGGATCAGGATTCCACTCTTCGAATGTCGAATATGGCTTGAGGCCCAAGTAGCGTCGGAAATCATTGAGGGAACAGCAACCCCAGTGTCGTGCCTGCTCGATACCAAGGAGCTCGATTGCGCGCATGACGTTCGGGATGCCGCGGGCCTTGAAGGCGGCGGCTGGTGCGGCAGTTGCTCCCTGAAGAATTCCAGCAAGAAGATCGTCCGAATACCGTTGGGTAGAAGGATCGCGCTTGTTCTGACCCCAGGGGACTCGAAGATAGTCTCGAGGAGCGTAGTCCACCTCGTATAGGAGTTTGTTGCGTTGGGCAGCAGGCATAGCAAAGTATTGTTCAATTGATAATGGGTTGGTGGGGTTCTGAGCATTCACGGCTTTGGTCACTAAAGTAGCCTCGAACAGGTCTGGGGTAAGTGAATCCCAATCATTGTTTCCGAATAGCCGCTGGAATTGGTCCTCTGATAATACACGAGCGAGTGAGGATAGAGACAACTCACGCAAGGGTCACGCTTACCAGTCCACTTCACATCCTCTTCAGTCAGAGCGGTATGCCAGCGGTAGAGCACGTTGAATTCAACGGAGCACGAATTACCAGCACCCCGTTGCAGCGGAGAATGATCCTC